CGATGATGATAATGATGATGACCCCAATAAGAATGATGATGATAATGATAAAAATCTCGGTGACGATGATGACGATGACGTAGACGAGGATAGAGAGAACGTTGTAAAGAAAAAAAAGAATAAAAAATTCGTTCTTAAATAGAGCATGACCTACCTAAAATAACACTTCTTAATTAGCCAATCCTTGACTTTAAATAAAAAAAATTTAAATTAAAAAACATTAGGACTAGTGTATCTGGTTATGATGATGATAATGATGATGACGATGACGTAACGAAGATGATGATGATGATGACGTAATGACGACGACGATGAAGATGCTGCTACGATGATAACAACCTTGACAAAAATTATTACATAAAATAGAATCTGAAAACGCTGATGACGACGACTATGATGACGATGATAACGATTATGATAATGATGATGATGGTGAAAATTATGATAATGATCCTGAGACAGAATGACAAATATTAATAAGTTGACTAAATGAAGTAAAAAAAAATACGACAAAAATACAATCTATACAAAATGTCCGATGAAGAAAAGCTCAACAATTTTGATTTTATCTAACATATTTACAATGGTATGCTTGTATGTTTGTTTGTATGTATGTATGTATGTGTGTTTGTATGTATTTATGTATGCATGTATGTTTGTATGTATGTATGTATGTATGTATGTATGCGTGTACGTATGTGTATATGTATGTATGTAAGTGTGTATATATGTAGGTAGGTACGTATGTATGTATATATAATTTTTCTTAGTTCTTAAAACATAAGAACCGAAAATAGTTTGATAACACGAGCGAACAATGTGATAGGTAGATTGAAGTTATTATTATTTTTGTTGTTGTTATTATTGTTGTTGTTATTATAATTATTTTTATTGTTATTGTTTTTTATCGATGGACCAATAATACTAATGAGAAAAACAACAACAAAAAGAAAAAAGAAATGAAAAAAATTTCACCGTCTGCTAAATAATAATAATAATAATAATGATTATTAAAATAATAATAATAATGATTATTATTATAATAATAATAATTATAATAATAATAATACATTTAAAAGCTTTTTGATCGCTTTTTACGAAATTGTACAAAATTAATATATTTCAACCGACTAATCAACCAGCCAACCATCATCATCGTCATCTTCATCGTCATCTTCATCGTCATCATCATCATCGTCATCTTCATCGTCATCATCTTCATCATCATCATCGTTATCATCATCGTCGTCATCATCATCATCATCCTCATTATTTCAAGTGCTACATTAATTCATGCGCCAAGCAACAAACAAGCGACAACAACAACAACAACGAATACAAAAATACTTTCATTTTTTGTTTAATGTGGAGTTTAGTTTCTGTTTGTTTTTTTGTTGTTTATGTTCATTGGTTTAATTACTATTTCTGATTATTATTGTTTGTTTGTTTGTATGTTTGTGAAATTCTTATGTTTGTGTGTTTTTTCGTTTGTTTGTTGTTGGATAATTTTACGCATTTATGAAGTTTTTTCTAGGGCTTTCATCTTTCTCTAGTTGAGAATTTAACAGCTGTTGCTGTTGTTGATGTTGTTGCTGTTGTTGCTATTAATGTCATTGTTGATGTCATTTACGGTTTTGTTATTGTGATTGTAGTTGTTGTCATTCACTATGCTGTCGTTGTTGATATTG